CAACAACCTATCCATGCAAACCAACCAATGAAAAATGACACAGGGAAAATGTATTGAACATGCTTGCTGAAGTTTATCTAACATTTCTTGCAAAAGTCTTTGCTGGTGATTACAGCTTCAAGACGCCCCATGTATGGAGGAAACTAGTCGCATGTATTGCTCAAGTGGGATTTTGGTCCATTCTTCAAATCCTGCAGGCACTGTGTGCCCCTTCAGTGAACTCTGGGCTTTAGTTCTTTCCACAGACTTTCAATTGGATTCAGGTCAGATGATTGGCTACCATTCTAGCAGCTTAATTTTTTCCTCTCTCGCTGTATGTTTGAGATCATTACCGCGATGAAACATCCACCCTCGTTTCATCTTCATAATCAATAATGTGTCATTACATTTCTCCAGTGATCCTTATATGAAGCGTGCCAGTGATGTGTTGCTGAAAAACAGCCCCACACATGATGCTCACTGGAACCTTCAGTATTTCAGAAAGTCTTCTGTAATCAGTGGCATCATGTCTTACAACAGTAAGGCTGCAAAGGTCTTGAGAGAGTTCACTGGTTTTATGGTGTGACACCTTAGGTCATCACTTGGGACTGAACAAGCTGATATTAATTTGCACCAATAGCAGGATTGCTTTCTAACTACTGATACATTTTAGCCGGTGTCATGACTTTCTACACCTCCTTTTCTTCATGTGTTCAATGCTTTTTTCTTTATTTTTTCTTATTGTTACATGTAAGTGAATTTATGGACATCTATGGTTTGATTTCTTTGAATGTGTGGATTGTTGCCAACATCTGGTGAGAAATGACATGTCAATAGCACCTTCAGACTTTACTTAGAAAACTGGTGTTGTTTTCAATGTTTACTTTAGCCGCTGTATGCTCCCAGGATGTGCAGTTTGCTGCCACACTGACCTTCATGAATTTTAGATATCGGCGATAATGCTTCCAGTATCGCTTGGTTCAGATAATGAAGTAAATAGGATGGGTCAATAATACAGGGACATTTTCAGTATGAAATCATAAATAAGTGAGTGACTCTAAGCATTCACTTGTTGGATGAGGTGCTCCCTGGAATCTGCTACAGTTTGAACTTTGAGTGTCAAGAACAAAAAGAAAGAAGAAGAAAAAACAGAGTGACACGCCACCAATAACAAGCAAGGCAGCACGCACAACTGCATGCTGAGTCACTGCTAAGCTGTTCACTTCCAATTTCCAAGAGATTTTAACATCAACAAACAATAACTACCTGTTTTTCTGTAAACCAGGGCATGTACTACATGTTCCACAAAACCAGAAATCAGGAAACAGAAGGAAGGAAGCTGGTGATGAAGAGGCTGGCTACAGCCAGTGAGTGAATAACTAACATAGCAGAGAGTCTAAAGAATGTTTGTCAGTGTTTTCAGTCTCCTGGCGTGCCTCCAGGTGTTTTCCAGGAACAGTCGGGATTGTGGGCTGCTGAGAAACTCAAGGCTGCTGAGCTTCACATCACTGTTAAATTATGCAAAATCCCTGATACTTTAAATTTAAGATAACATAAAGAAGCACATTCGACTCACACGTCGGTGAAGTCCTTCAGAGAGGTGGCAGGGGTGAAGACATCTAAGAGGCCAATTACCTGCAAGAATGAGACAAACACTGTTAAGCTCAAAACTGAAGAGCAAAGACCTGCAGGGCTTTGCTCTCAACAGGCGGAACAAATTGAAGAGAGACAAGTCACTCACGTTTTCATGTTTCATATGTTTAAGCAGCTGCAGCTCTCTGTAGGTTCTTTTGGCGTGGACGATGGACTGAAAAGGCCGAGAGAGCTTCTTCACAGCGACCTTCAAACCGGTCTCCATGTCAATGGCGGAGCTGTTTAAAAAAAAAGTCAAAAGCATACATGTGAGCTTAAATCTCATCGGGGAAAACACCTTAACTTTTACACCAATTTAGATAATAAAACCAACAAGTGATCAGCATTTATTTAACACTGAAAGACTGTGGCTTTAATCAAAGCAAGCCCGTCCTTTTCAGGCAGAGGAACTGAAGCGTTTCATGTGGCTCAGTCTGGGTTTGCTCTCAAAAAACCAAAGTAGGTTGCAGGAAGAGCTGCTGAAGGCTGGGGGGGAAAGCACGACATCAGCAGAAAATGCCATCTCTCAGCAGACTGCAAGCAGCCCTGGCAGCAGCATATCCCCCGCTCTGAAAACCAACTGTCTCTGACCCAAAAGCAACACCCACCCCACCCCTGCTTAACTCACCTAAACAGAGTCACGGCTTGTGGATGGCCTCGTGTGACTGTTGTGGGGACACCAGCGTGCCCGCAGACACATCAACATCAATCGATATTAAAGGTTAACAAAGAAACCACCTATAGCAATGCCAACCTAATAATAAAAATGGATACAGGGATTATCATCATAGCAAGAAACAGAGGGCTCGAAGCATCTTTCTAGTCTCTGGTTCAATTCCTCAGCATATATTTGAGTCACCTTAACTGTTCTTCCCTACATACACTGCTGCACTGAGCTTTTACCCATTTCAAGAGCATGCAGGAATGTAAATCCCACATACAGCTGTATTAGATATTAAATCATCCCATCAGCTCCCTCATAAGAAGGACCTCGTGTTTGATTGAAGGAAGTCAAAACAGTGCAGTCATCCTTTGTCTTACATAATGCAGACACTATCTAGGCAGCACCCTCACCGAAACAAAACGAGTATTTTTTAAGTGGTATGAACACATCTAAAAAAGACTATGTCCTTTAGCAATTTGCGCATAACAGTGTTCAGTTGTGCAAGCTTCTTGGACAAAGACGCTCCTTAACTCGTTCGATTTATTAGGTATGATGATATGGGAGTCGACTTCTGATAAAGCCACCAACCTGCAGCAGGGTTCAGGTGTGCGTCATTGCCACACAGTTTAGAGCATGCTGTTCAGTTTCAGTTTCAAATTACTGGCTACAGTAAACTTGAAGTCATCACGTAACTGCTAACAATACAAGCCAGCGCACTGTTATAATAAAAACAATCACAGTCAGTGCAGCAGTAGCAGCGAGCTGACAGTAATCTGACCAGCAACAGATTATCCTATTGCCCAGCAACAGCACAGCTGTCCTCTTCCATTTGCAAAACAAACATCTGCTCACTAAAAGAAGTGTACCACTGACTATGTTGTGTCCCAGATCGTATCAGCAGCACAATCCATTTAATTAAAAACCTATGTAAAGGATCCATTCAGCCAAAGATGACCTTACTGCCGCTAGGCAACATTAAGGAAACCCACCCTCAAGAGGCAAGATCTCCACTCTGCTGTGCATGCAAATACCTCTGAGCTGCAGATTTGTATATAACGTATCAAACATTAACTGCAGGGCTCCCTAACATATAACTAGTTATCAAGAGTGAAAGGCAACACTGAGAGAACATTAAGGTTTTGATGAGGCTGCCTATCAAATTTGCATGAAGACAGCAGCTGGTTTTCATAGCAACCAACTTGGGAGGTTTTAGCAGCTGTTGATCATTTTCAGTCATTATTTTAAAGTTAGCCACAAAAGTAAAAGATACTAACATCACAGTGACTTAAACAGAAAACTGTTTGCACTTATTATTATTATAGATTTTTTTTTTTTAAATAGCCAAATAGTCAATCTATTGGTCTATTCATTGTTTTAGATTACAGCACTCTGACTTTCTTTATCCATGCAAGATCAGTGAAGTGGACATCTCAACTTTCCACTTGTGTTCCTAATAAGAAAAACATCCAGAAGCTGTGCTCACATCGTCAATATGAAGGGATTGAGTTCATTCAAACAACCTACCTAGCAGCAAGCAGCTATATTTGTTGCACTAACGGTGCAATGTGCATTAAATGTCTTTATCCAGAACAAATGTGGTCGGAGTAACCTGAGGAGACCAGAACACTTGTGTGACTCTTAACATGCACACTGATCAGTGCATGTGGATCAGACTTTCTATACTTAGTTCACAGCCAGGAATTTATTAGCACTTAATAATTACAACTCGGTAACACGTCAAAGATAGCAAGTTCTGGGCTTTCCTTGCTCAAACAGACACCGCGGCTCCACCTTGCTCGCCATTAGCTTGTGAAGCGCAGGCCTCGTCTAAATGAATGGACAAGTCAGGCTAACTTCACCTAACTGAACTTTTTGGAGGAAGGCGATTTACCAGACAGATCCGTAGGCGCCGGATCCAACCGGGGTCAGTCTCTGGTACCGCTCCGGGACTTCCCATATCGTCTTGTTCACCTCCTCTCGATAAAAATCGTGTTTCTCTGGTCGCGACATTCCTGCAGGACCAACTGCCGACCACCGACCGACTTTCTGCTCCAAGGTGGGGGACTCCGAGCCGCGCAGAGCTCAACTTTACCAAAGTGCAAAAAAGTGGCGCTAAACGAAAAGTTTCTCGTCCCCGGAGAAACTGATGTCGTTTAAAGTTACCGTGCTGCCTTCTTGTGAAGTTCTGCAATGTGTGCACACACTTTTCAGGTCTCCACGTTATTTGTTCCTCC